ACAGAAGATATTATACGCCAATTTTAGTATCAAACAGGAAATTAATCCGAAGAGTTTGTGATTAAACAATCAATTTATCCTTTATAATGGTGGGATCACTAAGTATATTAAACCTCAATATGTAATTATAAGCACTTATTTAGAAGAAAACCTTTTATATACGTGTGAGGAATATTGTGAAAGAATATATGAAATTAATTGATAATAAAACCTAATTAATCTTACATACTACGACGAGTTTTGATTCATCTGTGTCTAATAAACCACTCTTTAAGACCTATTTTGAAATCATTTTCAATGTCCTACTTAATTATCTACAAAGTTAATTCTGTTCTATGAACATACTCGTACACTCTCATATTTAAATAATATCCCAAGAGGGAATTTATACAAACACGATGTATTATGTAACAAACGAGGGATTTGTCAAGCATCAGATAATTCATTGTATTGTTAGTGTTTATTGTAAAATAATAAATATATGATATTTTATTATCATTAAAATAGTAAATTGTAAAAAGACTGCAAATAATTAAGGAAATGTATAGGGTATTTAAAAGAATAAAAATACTGAATTCTAAAGGTCATTATTGTAGTTGCTTTAACATTTTAAAATGTTTATTAAAATATAATGTTATGAAATGCATTTTTTCTTCCTTGTAGTTCTATCCTGTATTGATTTAATTAAAAGTTTTGTAAGCAAAGACATAAGATTAAACTATAAATCTGAGTTAGAACCTTAACAGCTGTATAACAATGTAAGCATGTCACACTGTGCTGACAAATTGATACACTTCTATTCTCATCAATTTATTTTTTAAAAGAAATTATATACTATGAATGTAAATGAAAATAATGTTTGTCGAATATACTACGCGTGCTTTATTATTGTGAAAAATCCCAAAGTTTCGGCTACTTTTCTACAACCGTGATCACGGGCAGACGAGAGAACTATGAAATTAGTTAAATTGTTGTTAAATAATTTCCATATAAATTACAAAATGTACTGTTAATTTTTAATATGAAATTCAAGACTAGTTCTCGTATAATAACAATATAGTAACGTTATCATCAACGTTAACTGTTTCAAATTAACTTTATTACTTAACCTGTTGGCTATACCCATTGTATTTGGCATTTATATAACTATCTAAGTACGCCGTTAATAGAAATACATATAACATGAAAAATTAAGGCTGTAAACAATTAAAACAAACGTATATATATAAACTAATCCTGAGAACATTTTATCCCAACCAAAGTTGAGATGATTTTGAATTTGTAAATTTTATCATAAAATACGTTATTAAAGATTGCCTAAACAAATATTATCAGAAACAAAATCCATAATTCCTTTATTTTAAATACATCCTCTATAAATATACAATGAGCCTCCCAGGGTAATTATGTTTAAATTGTTTTGATCATTCAAAGACCGTTAATTTCACAACATTATCTTTGTTCTCTAATAATTAAAAAGTAACAAAATATTTCAGCATATTTTACGAAACTAAATTGGTTTAATCATATAATATACATTATACATATGTGGAAAACATCAAAGCTATGTTTTTCGTACATAAAGAAAAACTAGAATGTTCTTACATGCCTCAAGGCGGACCTGTTTTTACAGATGTTAATTTATTCATTTATAGGAATATCAATAACAAAAAATATTTTATTACAACATATAATGTTCTTTGACGTTTATCACTTTGAGTGTTTAAGAATTTAGATAATAAGAAATCCGTGGCATGTATGTACATTCACCATTGACCTTTATAGAAAGATAACTTTATGGTTTTTATATTATCTTTTACACTTTGTAAACCATCCCCTACGAATGTCTTTCGTTTTTGTGCACTCTTTATGCTTTGATTAATTATTTTCAGTAGTAATTAATACAATAGTTATTAATCATTTACAACAGAATTTTTAATAAATTTCCTTATAATTAGAACCTTATTCAAAGTCAAGTTATAAAGTTGTTAATGAAGTAAAATATTGCATTAAACTGCAGATAGTATTTACTGTCAGATGTCAGACTCTGTAGAGAGCGTTTCTCACCTATCAGACGAGACTTATTTTATCTTCTCTTGAACACCTGGGACTCTCATTTCCAGAGATTCAAACACAGATATAAATATCCAAGTGCAATGAGATTTATATTGGAAACTTGAAAAGCTGTATTAATAGTATAAAAAATATGAATACAAAAAGTAGAAAAGTGTCAAGAGAACAGGGGAAAAAATGTAAATAAATGTCTTACTATTTTTGTAAGTATATGAAATATACGGTACATTTCAAAGTTTATTTAGTATACTGTTTCAGCATGGACATATAGATGGGTTTTATTTAGATGGCCCTGAATTCACATGAGGTATATCTTTCATGAAGTCAGTTTTATGACTGAAAATAAAATGCTTTCTTAAAATTTAGAATTTGTAACGCCATTCTATGAAGCGTTCAAAATAATTAAACATTCCCTGTTAAATCAACATTGATAACAAATGATAATAAAATACAGAAAAAGGCGTTTCTTTATGAAGAGACTAACAATATAATATTTTGGAACAAATATGTATATCAAAAGAAGAAGAAAAGTCTTCTATATTACATATAATGTTGGAGTATATCTGAAAATATTGAAACTTTTACGTTTAAACGTCTCCGTAATGCTCGATAATTAAAGGTTTATGTAAAACAGGTGAAGTTACTCGAGCAGAAACTAAAGATGATTTTAAAAGGTCCATTATTAAGACCGGTTCGACAATTTGATAAAAATTTCATCTCTTAATGTCAAATAAAAAAAGGTTCTTGATAATTAAAAAAAATGTTACCATCTCGCCTTACTTTAATACAATAAGTTGGAATTGAAATACTTTAAGCGTATAATTACGAAAAGAAAATATTTCAATTTCTTAAAGAATATTTTTCAACTTTTACTGTCCAATGATCATGTATTTTCATAAAAGTAAGTCAAAGTTATAAGATATCGAAAAATATTAAAATGTTCTATTATAAGTCTTAAGATATAAAATTCAATAGGATTCGAGATATTTATTCTTAGAAATTCCTTTGTTGTTTTTCTGAGAAGAGACATTTGATCTTTTTTTGTTTTTATTGTTTTCGATTCACTGTGACCTATAAATATGCATGTACCTTAAAATATTTAATATATGTATTATTTCTTAGTAGTCAAGATAAATGCGATTTATATATTAGAAACAAATTTTTAACCGGGTAGAATTTTTGTGTCAAAATATATCATTATTGTCTAAAATGAGATTTGATTCGATCGAAGAGACCACGTCTTAAAAAGCATCGCTTTTATAGATTTCAATATGTACAAAATGTGTTTATTATGATTTATTTCAGTTAAACGCCTACCTTTTACTTATTTAATTATTGTAAATGTCCTATCAATTGTTTTTGATATTCCTTGGAGATGAAATTCCCGTCAATTACTCCGTGAAACGAAATGTTTCTTTCATGATCTCAACTTGATAATAACTCATTGAAAGAAAATTTAATATTAAAGTCAAATTAGAAACATTTCATTAATTTATTGTATTGCTCATTTTAGGTGTTCATTGCTATATATATTCCATCATGGTGTTAGCCTGGCGATATTGGTAATAATTATATGATATAGTTATTTAACATCTAAAACCAAACTTCATATGTCAATGGACGTAAGTAGGTACGCCGTACGTATGTATGTTTCAAAACTTAGAAGTACAAATAAACTCTTCTACAATAATTTCAATGTATTGAACTAATGACCTTCTAATGGAAATAAAAATATTTTTATACCAAGTTATTCTTTAAGATTCTGTAGAGGCACCTAGCTGTTAGGGAAACAGATTTATATAAGACCAATGCTCGATAACTTTGTTAAAAAAGATAGGTTATACTTCATTAACGCTTTTTTTGTATGCAGGAGTTCTAAAAACAGAGGGGAAGAGAAAGTCTCGAAAATTTAGGAAAATACGATGGACAAAGGTGCACATTTAGTCTCTGTGCTCTCTCATATATATATATATATATATATATATATATATATATATATATATATATATATATATATATATATATATATATAATACTATGGCATGGGATAAACTCTATGGTTTTATACAATCATATTATTAAGAAGGCAACTTTGGAGCAAAGATCTTTAGCACAATAGTTTAGTTAAATTCCATCCGAACCACTGGACCACTTCTTAATGCTGAGCTTAAGTCACTACTGCACACGTACTTTGTGAAAAACTCATACCGCTCATAAAAACATTGCACCTTAGCTGCAAAAAAAACTTAAGCTAATGTATATTTCACAGTTATTACAATTTACTAGTTTTTCATGTTTTTTTTATAATTCTTTTAGTTATTTACAATTGCATTTCATGTTTGTTACTGATTGGCTAGGTTCGTTTAAAAATTACCATAAGATAACTTTGATTTGGTAACAATTAATTTTGATCATATAAATCAGTTCTACTGTAAAAATGCATCTAAAGATAAGAATGAGAATGAAAACAATAAAAAATCTGTTATTTCATACAAATTAAATAGAGCCCCATAACAATCACTTACTTTAGAACAAAATTTTTGAAACTGGCGATTGTTTAACAAATATTTGATGAACGAACCACATCAATCATTCATCTTATAAAATTTATAACTGCGATTTTTCTTAACAGTTAAGAAAAAGTATTTGTACAAATTATAATTCATTTGATATTTGGCTTGAGTGAAATCGTCCTCTGAAAATTACCTTCATCAAAGTTATTTTTCCTGAGTACGCTTGTTAATTAAAATTTTATTTAGAAATTAATGTATTGTATCTCATTTTTTCTAAAGTATAAGGATTAATATAAAATATAAAAATAACAACAAAGACTTTTATTTCTAGCCTAAAATAAAAATTAAATATTAAAAGTAGTTTTCAATAATAAACCCCTTTTACATTCCTAGTACCAGAGAGTATTGATTATATTATAAAAGTTTGACGTCAGCTTGCAGCACGGGAACAGGACCTGGCTGAGCCATGGATCTAAAATAATTTAAAATAGAAATATATTTGTCAAATAGTTAAAACTTATTTGCATTTTCGAGGATGTTCCTTCTAATCAAATACTGACTTAGGATGTTCCACGTTCCACTTTTGCAGATTCTTACAAAACTTTCTCAGTTTAGGTGAAGAAACCTTATCAGGCTTTTTGCGTTGTTTATTTTGTTTGTATGGCTTACTTGATGGTGATTCAGATACTGAAAGTTAAGTTCACAATTTGGCATAGAATAATTATTTTTAAATATTTGTTTTCTTTGTCTTTATCTTTTTTTATGATTTTAAGAAATTAAACTTTAGTTTAAAATATAAATACATAAGTTGTCTACGTACGTGTAGAAACTTTCGATACAAATGTCTCATTGGAATAAGACACCAGGTCCAAATCACAATGCAATTTCGGCAGTCTTGCTTCAAACGCTCTATCGATGAGACCTTTATGAAATAGCAATATTTTTTATATCCGAAAAACATTATTATCTTTATTAAACAAGTATTTGTGGTCAATTCACCCTTTTCTTCGACGAATTCTAGCATAGAAACTGCAGTTTTTTCTTGATTTTTTGGTGAATCCGGCGGAAGTGCCTTCAATCCAGTAGATCTTATACTATCAGGTTCAACACTGACTTCAGATAGATCTAGATCATAGCTTTGGTCCTAGAACATTTGTAGATTTTAATGCTTTTTTACTAAAATAAAAATCTCAAAGTATTGCTTTTACTTACTGATATAGCACAAAGATTATTTAATTCAGGCTTGCTATTAATGAAGTCCCAAAATGCAACACATTTTCTTTGAACGAAGTCATTGTCACATTCTTCATTAGGAGTGAAGTCAAGGATAACTCGATGGGGCACGAGAGCTTCGCCGTAGGTACAGTCTTCGGAGTCACGTTCGCTGCCTTCAATCGGTGCAGGGTTGCTTATTACTTCGATAGACCTCGATCCCGAAGCCGGCAATGCTTCATTACTAATTGTAGACATGGAACAATTACAAAAAAGTTATATACAAAATTAAATATATATTTTTACATTGACATGTGTATATAACGTCAAATTAAAAATGATTATATTTTTTATTCAACCAGTTACAAATTCTTGTGCATCGCACATTTAAATTCATATTTTTTCCATTCTATTTAGACATATACATAGTCAAGCATGTATGTGACACTTTGTCAAATATTAACATTCATATTACAAAATTTCAATGCTTTACTCTCTGTTTTACAAGTATAGATTCCAATTTACAGCAGACAATTATAAGAAATAACGTAAAATTATAGCTATGAAGGAAGAAATCACATAAATGTGTTATTGTTGATTGAAACATTAATGTAAAAAATCAGGTGATATTTAAAAGCATCATATAATATCCGCCATGAAGAAATGAAATATAAAAGCAAACGTGTTTCACATTCAAAGCTGAAATAAGGAGTAGGAAACAAATTTAACTACAATAATATAAGTACCATTTCTTGTTCTAAAAATAATTTAACAGAATGCTCCAGGAGGTGTGAAATACCGAAGTTCTTAATTAATGAAAAATGTGTTTTGAAAACCAATAATAACCCACTCGATCAGTTTTTTTGGATGAAATAAAATAAGCAACTGTGCTATAAGATTTTTATTTTATGGTCCCTAAAAAGTAAGGAGTAAATAACTGCTAATTTATGCTGTGATATATAGATAGTTTGAACAATAAATAGTTTGAACAATAAAAGGACCTAAATGAAAATTAATAAAGCTAGTGCCTTAATGCTATTAATCAAAATAAAGAGGTCTATAAAATTGTGAACTTTAGTTTGATATCATGTTATTAAATCATTATACCTTTGTAATCCATTATAGATAATAGTGAAAAATTACAAAAACAATACAATATCGCTCCAATATTCTGGTAACTATTAAAACGTTCCGTGCAACACGCACGAATTACGAAATATATATTTTTCACTTTATACTTATATTGTGTTAGAAATCTTACTCATTATATAGTCCCTTACCTTTCCAGTCTTTCCGTACTAGTTATCATTACGGCTAGTTTACGAATAATATATAATTTAAGTGAAAGAACGCGTATAAGTAAAATTTTTTTGCAATGTTAAGACACTTGTTAAAAATTAATTAAACAAATTCAAAACTTATTTCAAAGCAACAAACAAAACAAATGAGCAATGCGAGTGCAAGCCACAAACTAATTATTGTTTTTAAAGTACATAATAACTTTCAGTATTTTCCATATTCAACATCGAATTGGGGAATGCAAATTGAACAATAAAACGAACTAACCTCGAAAAATTAACGACCTGATATTCCAGAATAATAATTAAAAATACAATAAATAAATTTCTTACATAAATCAAGTTTCTGAATCTTCAGCTAAAAAGGGGCGTATGTCTTAATTTCTGATTGATTATATTCTACTGGTTAATAATTTCTTTTATAGACGGCAATATAATTCTTTACACATTTTAAGATTAAATATGTATTTATATTTTGAGAGACAACATTAAAATCTGAATAGCAAAGATTTTTTTGAGCTTAAAATTATCGTTCAAATCCTTATTATTTAGTTCCTTATCGTCAAATTCAGTCGTTAAGGAAGAGCGTATGTTTTGATTTCTTCAATGAGAAACGATTCTGTATTTTATTATTCTAGTTTAATAGATAAATCGACTTCAGGGATGAAATATGTACAGTTAGCTATAATTTACAGTATCAAGCTAAGTACCTTTTTTATTCTTAGCTTCAAAGGAAATATGAAAATGAGCAGTAGTTTTATTTTGACAATTTTCTTGTGCTATTTGTAATCATCCAAACAATTAAAAAACTAATTTATCTATTATTTAATCACGTAGATAGATAATAAGTACTACTAATATAATAATTAACAAGGAGTTATTCCCACTTTATTCAGTAGCCTAACGACGAAACTGCTACTACGATGTCTAACATAGTTATTAGACATTGTAGCAGTAGTTTCGTCATGAGGTTAGGGATAGTTCCCTAACCTCATGACGATTGTACTATAATGATATTATAAAATTATATATTTTTCATAGCATACTGTAATTAATAGGTCAATCTCTTTTATATGATATTTGTATAGAGGGAGTTATGATAATACATGTAGTCCGCTATTCTAAATTGGAGGCCATCTTGGATTTAAAAGAAAACATTATAATCGAAGGTATAGATGTGAATCGAAAACAGATAAATTTGACAATATGAAAGAAATGAAAGTTTATTACTATATATGGCTCAAATAAATTTGTGGTAATTCTAAAAGTAGGTGACACTGACTGTATGACGTAACATAATCTTTGCTAAACTGCCGCTTACGAATGTAAATCCAGGGTTAAAGGAAATTCTGTAGGGGAACGTAATATCATAAAGCTATTCGAAATATTTGGTGAATATCGAAACAAAAATATATTTCTTCGTTGTACCACAAACAAGGAAAGATTATGTTTCTAACTAAAACACTTGTCTGTTATAAAAATTGTAAGAGTTACTTAACTTTTTCCTTTTGTTTTATGTAAAATAATTAGAAAGTAAGGTTAAGAATTCACGAAGCGGTTTTCTTGTACTCTGATTAAACAATATCATTTCAAGACTCGTAAGATCGCATTGCGCTGAGATTACGAGAACTCTTAAAAGCATTCAGGGTTTGAAAGTACGAATTTAATAATTTTAATAAAATCATAACAAAAGTACTAATTAAAATAGCAACAACTATCTAACAACAGACTACAATATTAAAAATACTTTTTCTTATAAGACGCTACTGTTTTGCGGTTGCAACATAGTTTTATTTATGTACCTCAATCGGTTGGTCCTTAAAAAATATTACTTCTCAAATAAAAATATATTTGTTACCCTAAAAAAGCAGAAATGTTATTTAAAATATGCGGAATAATTAGAATCTTTGACATTTCATTCATAAAATTCCTTTCAAATTATTTCTCCAAAATATTCTGATTGTCAAATAAAACGTTGTATCTGGGGGCGTGAACAAAGATTTGGGATTGAGTTAGCAGAATACATGTTTGAAAAAAAAAAACCATTGTTTATCATATTTTCCTCCTCTAAAACATTGATAATATTCGCGCATAAAGTAACAGAAGACTGATCAAAGCTAACAACCTCTGAGCCACGAAAGTACCTTAAAACGATTACGAATTGTTCACCATCGGTAGGTATATGATAATAATTAAATCGGAATATCCAATAAATATCCAGATATTCTTATTATTATTTGAAAACAAAAAAACAAGGAAAACAAAATAACTTATTTGTTTGTACTATGTACACAACCTGCTAGCTTATTTTAAGTATCATGATAATTTTGATTACACCGAGGAACATAACATTTTTAGTTAAATCTAAACTAGTAACAAACACATCTTCCCTTTGTCATTGTCTTAATTTTATTATCAAACGACAACATTAAAAATGTACTCGTAATTATTTTCATTTAGCACAATATAGAGTTCAGTACAGAGCTCACTACTATTTTCTAGAATTCGTTAATAATTTCACTAATTAGCTAATTAAAACTTTTTCAGTTACGCTTTGAAAGAGAATTATAACAAAATGCCGAAAAAGTATTTTAATGATAAACTGACAAATTAAATAGTCCATTTTTCATTTGAGAATAAGTTTCAATGACGTTTTAAACAAATATGGTTAAGGAAGCAGTGCCTCTCGAACACTATAAACTATTGCATAATATTTAACCTATAAATATATAAATATTTTTGCATACCTATGCCTCGAGTTTGTAGATCGTTCTTGAAAATATTTGTATAGGAAATATGCTCTGAATCATTGTGGGAATCCGCGCTGGCTGCTAGTAACGGCCAATCTAAAATGTTCTTTTAACGTTGATAGACGCCACTTTTAATATATACTCGTAATTTTACCAAATCATGAATTAAATGACATCGACTTTTGATCGAAACATTTGACGTTCCGTATCATTGAAGTATCTTACAATTGTAGTATTATAACCAGATATTCAAGAGTGAATTAAATCCTGGATGATCATATTTTTTCCTATGTAAGTTTTATCTATATATATATATATATATATATATATATATATATATATATATATATATATATATATATTATACTACAACTTCGAATACTCTCCTATTTGTGATTTTTTTATTGATATTATAAAATAATCCGTTAAAGGCTGCTAACAAAATAGAACTATGTTTATTAATTCATTAATTATTATCAAATGTGTACAGTAAAGCTGTTTGCCTCTTGAGGTATATGAGTGTGGCAAGACGAGGAAGATAAACACAAGCTAATCTAACTCAGTCTACCATGAAACACCACGGTTATATGATTTAATAGTTCTAGCCAGTATATTCATAACACCTACAATGTAACTCCCTTTATTTGTCAACTAATGTACAATATTCCCAGCCTTATCGCTAGAGAGCCATCTCTTCTAGATAATCAAGGAGGAATAATAAATTAAACATTTAAGAATTTAATGACTGTATGTAAAAAAAACGAGCAAATAGTAGATAAATTAAAATTGTAAACATATAATGACTGAAAAGTAAATGTAAAAACTTGACACAAATTGAGGTAATTCTTTGCCAAACTGTTAAATGACTTTACTGACTTTGCAACTTTATTTTATAAAGAAAGTTCATTGCAAAGTCGAATAGCTGAGACAGTAAATGAATTTGTGGAAAAGAAAGAAGAGGGGAAAGAAATTTTTGAGTGAAGATTTACTTTGCCACTTTAATTGAATGCGAAAATCATATCGGTTATGGTCACATTTTCGAAGTCCAAAAATAAACCTAATGGCAAAAGTTTTCAAGGCGCTATAGTGTCATTAGTGGTTTTTCTTTTAGATCCGGATAGGAAGTGTCTGCTTAGTCTTCAATAGAAAGTAAAGAGAATGAGCTAAGATAATATTGGTAGATATTGGAAAAAAAATACATTCTGTTGCT